TTAAAATTAATAAATCGACCTGTAATTTCTACAAAATAATTGTCTCTCGTTCGCAAACTATTTTTCTTAGACTGAGGGAGAAATTACCCTGAAAGAGTACTCTTAACGTTGAAGGTGTGTATAATCCTATTAATTTGAAGCATCTTCTTTTAGTGTTTCTAGGGTTATTTAACGTTGAAAAATATTGTCGGCCATTTTGAGAAAAGTTTGTTGAAACCATAAATCACACAGCGCAATGTTTTGCGAGTTTGTTTTATTCACAAATCATTGCGAACTCTTAACCATAAAGTCTTGTAGTAATCCTACTGATAAGTTATAAAACATTCCCGTAATTACAACATTATGTTTATGGTTTGTCAGCGAGAAGTCGTCGAGAGCCCGACTGTTAAACGTCTGCCACGAGGTTCTTTCAACATTCCATCAATCTATCCGTAAATTCGTGACCCTTTTTGTCTGYATTATGGTTCAAGCATTCGTTAACTGACACTTTGAAGTTTCCCGTGGGAAAAAAATCCTTTATTTTTGTCTACGTGAGAAAGTTTGAGGTCTCGTGCATCATATGAAGGCGTGCTACYGATACATGATCTCGCGTTTGCATAACAATTTCGGTTATTTGTCGCAGCAAAAAAAAGGAATATTATGTTTGTTTATGTCTTGCAATTCTGCCAGTATTGGAGAGAAAAGCTCCAATTTTATACAGTTTCTGCTACGTTTTTTTCATGGTTATTCGCGTGCGTGTATGTGTGGCGGGACGTCGACATTGCGGTTAGCATTATTGCGGCATAAATTGATGTCTTGCRCTGGAAATGAAACAGAACGGGCGCTTTTGAATTTATTCATCAAGCAAAAAAAATTCGCAATCCTGGGAATTTTGTATAGAAAAGTTCAATCTCATTGATTTTACTGATTGCTATTGATACCCTTTATTGATTGTTACGTTGCGGTGACTTACTGAACCGAATTCATCTTGCGCTTCTGGTATTTGGGTTTGGATGTCGGGGGCTAGAGGCTAAGAATTTTGCTTAATTTTCGTCCTCTGAATGTTGTGAATGTAATTCACGCTGTAGTTACAAATTGCATTGAAAAAACAGAAATAATAAGATTTGTCAGATTTGGAATTCGCATTAATAATAGCGATGATAATAATAATAGAAATATCAACATTTTTTTGGAATTATTATTTTGAAGAATAGATCTAACAAAAACAGTAGTTTATACATAGTTTCTGGATTACTTTTCAATTCTAATTTTCAATGCACGGCCATTTTGAATGTCGACTTCCAAGATGGCCGCCACTCTTAGCTTCCTTCATAAGCTTTCCTTATGCCAGTTTTCCTGTTTTTTCAGCAAAAAAAAATTCAAATCAAAGAAATTATTTTGTGAGTGACAGGATGTCAAACAAAAGTAGACACTTCAAAAATAGACCTAGATGAGCTGAAAAAACTGAAAACCTTAAGGTAGATGTCAAGAATTCAAAAACATATTGTTTTGCAATCATCTACGAATTTTAGCAATACTTCAGGTCTGGATTAACATTAATCCAGTGCTAACTCCATAGTTTTGTTAAGAGTTAACCCAAGGTTAGAGTTAATCGGGGCTTGTACCCGGATACTTTCATGTGGGTCGTTGTCAAACAATATCCTGTACTCATGGGTTTTTGGCTTAGCTATAATTGGTTTGTTAGTTTAAGAATGTTTAGAAATCGTATTACCGAGGATTTAAGCACATTTTCGTGCTTTTTGTTGCTGTCATAAAAACGAGAGAAACAGCGCGACGGAGAAAGCTAAACGCGGCGTGGATAGCTATTCCGAGACGTCCTTTTTCAATCATCGTTTCGAAATGAAAATGACTGKAATCTTGAAACCTTGCGYGTATTRATAATTCTCGTATACWGGTTCTGGAATTGAAAGAATGAAATTCCATGAATTCGGTTCACGACAGAGGAGAATGTTTTGAATATAYTKCGGGCATTCCGTGCTCAGTTAGAGACCCATTTAGATGGTAACCAGAAAACACGCACATCGCCTTTTTGGGCATAATGGAATTTTTCTGCCTATTGATAAATAGATTAGTTAATTCAATTATTATAATTAAATCACTAACACTATTAGTGCCAATTATTTATAATTAGTTTTTCATATACCCTTCATAATCATTAATAATACTCCATTTTTGAGTTCAAAGCGGATAACCGCTGATTTATTTGATAACAGATTCTCTTGCGCAAAAGCCTTTACCAGAAACAAAAGAAACCAAGAGAAAATGTCGTTATTACAATAGCGGTGTGAAAATTTATATCTAATTTAAGCCTTTTGGGAATACAGGGTTAGCCTCAACTCGGAGAAAATGCAAATTGTTAGGGCTATTGTATTACAACATTTTCACGTGTGTGTATGTGTTGTTGTTTTTTTGTATGTTTGTTTGTTTTTGTTTTTTTGTTTGTTTGTTTGTTTCAGTTTGTTTTTTGTTGTTTTTTTTTGTTTCTGGTAATCTAATTTGATTTAATTTAATCTAATTTATTAGCTTTGCCCCTAGTATGGGCAGGGACACCGCAACAGCTTGAGCCAATTACTGCGGACCCTGTACTCTCACACTCACTACCTCTACATTAAGTATTTTAGCGCACAACACTCCTCACATTGATTTTTAATGAGGGAGGCCGGAAATCGAAGGACCCTGATAAAAACCCTCGTGACAAGGGAGAGAACAACACATCAAACAAGGCTTTTAGGAAGAGAATCCGTTGTAATATGAAACAGCGGTTATTCGATTTGAACTTAAAAATGGAGTATTATTATTAATTATTATTAATATTTAGGGATTAAGGTACACGGTGCAGCTTACTACCGACCCAAGCATCCACCATCGAATAGGAAACATCTACATCCTCGACCTTAACGAACCAGAYCCATCACCCAACATCGTACCTCTCAAAATGTTCAACCGAACAGACTTCAATCCACATGGRATATCGATCTACGAAGACCCCGTCACTRGTCACGTGACTTTCTTTGTTGTCAATCATAAAAGAGATAAACAGGCTGTGGAAGTATTTGACTTTGATAAAAAACGACGCTGTTTGTATCACAGAAAGAGTGTCATGGATGACAAGATATATAGTCCTAATGATATTTTGGCMATAGGTGGGTGGTTCTTAACAAAAATTTATCATTCATGAAATGTCCTCTTAAGGGCCGTTTACACGTGCGATTTTTGCAGTGCGATTGTCGTACGACAATCGTCAGTTTAAAATCGTACGAGGCAATCCAAAATCGCCGCGAAGATGCAATTTCAAGCATGATCGAAGCTCAGGCAATAGGCGATATGCATTATTTACTACAACTCATATTACCAGAATACTTTGCCAACTTTCTGTTGTAATGCAATTAGTGCCAATTATTTTAATTAATCTCTAAGGGGATTAAAAATCTGAATAACAATGAAAATGCGCAAGGATCTCTGGTAGTTGTAGTAAAGTTACGTCATAATGCAAACGGTCTATAATCGCTCGACGGTTGCACTGCAAAAATCGTATGTATTAACGGGCCTTTAAAAAGGCAAACTGCATCAGAAAATCTTTGCGCAATTTTCTCACATTCTAAAAATTGCCCTCTAACTTTGATTTTGAAACCAATATAGCCAATTCTTTCCGCGACGCTCTTTTAAAATGGTCATGCACAAAACATGTAGCCTGCTAACAGGCGTTCCTGCTGGGGGCCTCCTCTCCTCCCCATTCTCTCTCGGCCCCCAGCAGGAACGCCTGTTAGCAGGCTACACAACATGCGGAATCATCTACTGTTTCCCCTGAGTTAGGTGATTGATTGATTAATTGTTAGAATTTGTTCCATTAGGTCCAGAAAGCTTCTATATCACCAACGATCACTACTTCCATTTCAACCGACCATTTCTAAGAATGCTAGAGTCTGCGTTATTAAATCTCTTTCTACGATCAGATGTTGTATTATTTGATGGTACAAGAGCACGTGTCGTGGCAAAAGGATTGATTGGTCCTAATGGTATTAATATGGACACTACAGGAAGGTATGGGTCTATTTTAGATCTCTTTACCAATAATGGCCGCCATCTTGATCTTTTAAAGAGAATTATGGAGTTAACGTTATGTTATACCTTATTATAACTTAAATTATGATTATAGAATTTTGATATAACAGTTAATACAGCTGATTGTCTGCGATAATACAAATTTTCATTGAAAACCATTTTACTTATTTTGTCGCTCATGGGAAGGAGAGAATTCGTGGGGCTCTTTTATCTGCCTTCCCGTCATTCATTGCGCACTACCAAAAACCGTGAAATCGCCGTTTCTTGATAATTTGCTCATCAACGCTATTCTCTCGCACTCATTTTTACTTGAAGTTCGTCTTCAATTTGTAGATTTATTCTTGTATCGGCTGGCTTTAGCAACGCTATTCATGTCTACAAGARACACGAAGATGACTCGTTATCGCTCGCACAGGTAAATGACGTTAATACTAATTCAGTTAGAGTGAGTACGCACAGTTCGCGTTTAGTTGTATTTTATGAAAAACGTTTAACTTGTTTGCCGTGTATTTTTGTGTTATAAAGCACATCTGTGTTATAAAGCWCTTGGAGACAGCCAGAGCACTCGAGAATTACTCTTACGAGGTACTCAGCTTTGTCTTATGTTCTCGAGTGCTTTTTCAATTGCTTTTTTTTGTGCTTCGCTTATCCTCGATTGCTTTTTAACTCGATAAAACATTAGCTACCCGCGCGCGTGTTTTTCTTTGTTMTCAGTTTATTAAGATAATAATAATAATAAATGATATAATTCTTCATACGAGTTTCACAACACTACTGTCGGCTCAAACGGGTATCTACTCAAAACAATACTGATCTACTACTGATCTTTCCAGACACGTAATGAGTTTCAATTTCCACAGCAAACCTTTTGAAAATCGCATAATATACGACTTATTCATTTTTTCTTGCCAACAGAAAATCAATATTGGAACACATGCCGATAATATCAATATAGATCATGACAGCGGTGCATTCTGGGTAGCTGGAGTACCCAAAGGACTTGACTTTGTAAAATACACCAAGAACCTCCAGCACCCAGCACCCTCCCAAGTACTCACCCTTCGACTTAACAGCGAAAGACAAGGAAATACCCCTTTTCCAGACTATGAACTTAGAGAGGTCTACTTGAACGACGGCAGAGAACACAGAGGCTCGACATCGGCAGCGCATTTTAAAGGAAAGCTTCTTATTGGTGGAATATTTGATAAAATGCTTATGTGCGAAGTACGAGCATATTGATTGGTTGGAATACATAATGAGATCTATATAAGGAAGCGACCATGTATCACAATGGTTCTGTGGAAAGTACAAGGTTCCTGATTGGTTGGAATACACAATGAGGTCCAAATAAGGACCCGAGACATCTTATTGGAGGATGTTTCACATATAACTCATGTACCCAATATGAGGCTACTAATTGGCTAAAATATACAGTGAATTCCAAAGAAGGAAGCCAAAATAAGGCTTCTAATTATTATTTATATGTATACATGTCACGTGTCTCGAATTTCTACTTAAAGACAGGTTATACAAAGGTCTATAAACTCCGTTCCTATSGATACACTAACTAGGTCATAATACAATTATCTGGAGAAATATTTCGACATTGGGCGCATGTGCGAAGTTCTAGGTCGATCACTGATTGATATACAAATATGGTCCATATTGCTTCCCAACACTCTGCGTTATTTATCAAAATCTTTTGAATGAGTAATCAGAATGCTCGTCGCAAAACACAATTACGTCACCAACCAACTTGCCAATCACACTGAAGTGGCCACCATATCACCATACCACCATATCACTGAAGTGGCCTCATTTATAGGCGAATCAATTGATAATCCTTATCATACTATGGTACTTATCTTATAATAATAAATGTATTATTATGCAAACAAAAATTCTCAAGTAACGCACTAAAATTTCGAGTGATACCGAAGACACCAGTGTCAAACTGCCCTGTTTCATTATGACGTCACAGTATGTTTGCATCGAGGAAAGATACTCCAAAACAGTGGAAATTTGGACCCATTTATATTCTCTCCGTATGTAGAWCTTCAATTTGTCTAGTTTTTATAAATGTCATTCATCAAAGATTRCTCATGTAAAGTTTATTTKAACTGCATTTGATCATACCGTCTGGCGKGCATAATCCTTAGCGTKAAAACAATATAGTGACGACATAATGAAATAGGGCAAATTAACTATGGATCAAGGCATGAGAAATATTCTAGTATGAAGTGATAATTCCGTTATAAGCTGTCTTATTTATTGTATATACCATGATCACWGTTCATATGAACATCAAGCTGTTGTTATTCTTTACCTTACAACTTCCCTGTAATATATATAACTTAAAAAAGATAGACACTCAACTATACAGTATATTTCATGTTACAAGYATTAAAAAACAACGACTACGATTTCTATCAAGTTTCTTTTACATTGAACATACAAATATGGAAAAAATCGCGCACTTTAAAGGTTGTAAATTTGATGTAAATCTACAACATTTTGAACACTTACATCATATTTACAATTTGATGTAAATTTACATCATTTTGGACACTTACATCTTCATATTTACATCAAATTTACAACCTTTAAAGTGCGCGATTTTTTCCAGTGATAYAGCTTTCTTCCGACTTCACTGCGACATTTTGAAAGGTAACCGTGCCTTTGCATCAAAGCGAGAGGGCTTGGTGATTTCCCTCAATGACGTCATGTGTGTTTTTGTGAAGTGTCAGGAAGGTTATGCTGACTAGTACTCAGTTGTCTCACTAGCAATTCGCAAAGCATCAAGAGAAGGTGGACAGGCTCCCCCTTCCCTCCATGCACTGCAATAAAAGAGGATTAACGAGGTACGATCAGCGATTCAGTTTGATATGACGTGTCCTTTTACAATTGGATGTCACATAATTTCAGCACGCTTTYATCTGGAGTCATTCTGGTTGAAGACGTACTCTATCGGAGGTATCGGCGAAGGTGGTTCGCGAATGTACCGACACTTCTCTCCCAATCGATCCTGATACATCCACGAACGATCCTTGTAGACATTCACATTTGGACAAGTATGGATATTAACAACCCCGAAAACCTTCTTCCTCTCCCCTCCCTGCACGGGATCTTTGTTCCTTTTAGAATAGCTTTGRACATTAATATTGTGGATRGTGGAACGTCTTATCTTGAGRCTSGATGGGGGTGGGGTGGGGTTAGGTTTTGCTACGAATTTCTTTATTTTGGTGGTTAATTGTTCTGATTCTTCCTGCCAAAAAGATGTGGAACTTTGTAAGAATGAGTCTTGAGATTCTTGATCTTCAGTGTTWTCCGTTGGTTCTTTTGGCTGTTTACTGCTGTTAGAATCTTCTCCAGTAAAATCTTTTTCATTTGAGGATACGATAAAGTTTACCTTTTGCGGAATTGGAGGAAAAAGACTGGACYGGAACCACTTTCCTGTCGTCTTTCCATCTTGTTCTTGTTTCGTATTTTCAGCATCTTTTTCCGTAGCCGTCTTTTTCAAAATACATTTATTACCTRCAGGAAGATCGCAATCATCTAATTTCGAATTTTTTGGACGACATTGTAGTGGCATCACWGTTCCTGTCGCTTGCATTGGTGTCACGTCGTCTTGTGTCACGGTCACACCACCAAGATCACGCTTAGTGCCTCTTTGAGACAAAGGAAGTGTGTCCGCGCGCGTTCTTGGAGCTGACGCGACACTAAAAGTAATAGAATTTGTTGCTGGTGTTACAGTTAGAAAAGGACATTTTGAGGGGGACTTTTTTATATCCTGCTTTGGAGCTAATGGAAGCTTTTTATCGCTGAATTCCTCCGATAGATTTCTTTGTAGGATTTCACTTTGAAATAGAGTGCCTCTTTTTGTTTGCTGTCGTTCTCGTCTTTTCAAATTATCATAAAATATCTTCTGTTTTAACAATTCCAATGCTTCCTTGTTTGCTTTCCTAGTTTCTAAATATCCCTGCAGTGMTTTGATGTGATTGTCAGTTTTGTGATGACCATGCAAATGAAGTCTATCAAGAAGGTGCTCACTTGCTAATTGACCCTCACTGGAATTAGCATTGCGTCTTGGAAAAGTATCATCTTTCTTGGTAACATTTTTATGATGTTCCATTGTTTCAAGTTTGGAGTCTTTCTGTGYCATGTATCTTAACCTTGAAAGACTAGTATTCCAAAATTCCATGAAAGGACATTGTCCTGCACATTGATAGATGTATGGTGGTATAACTTAATTCAAATATTCTTCTGTTGCTGAAGGCTCCTCACTGTTGCCAACWTGAAAAGTTAATTTGATGTTCCAAATAACAACTTAGCACTTTGGGGTAGCAGATCAAGCTAAATCCAACCAACAAACGAATTCACAATTATCTCATCGTCTGAGTTCCTCAACACAAATGACATCAAATCACTCCATATGTACTTTGGAAGTGAAAATAGGCGACGCTAGCACTTCATCGCGTCATTCTGTTTGCTTTCTGGTCATTCGACGATTCGATCTGTGTTAACACTTGATAGTTTGTATTTTTCTCCAAACAAATAGCGATTGTTAGTAGAATAGTTAATCGAATTCTTTTTGTATGGTTATTGCTAGGGGGAATCAAATAATTGACTCCATCTAACCTTTTAGAATACAGATCTCCGGTTACCATATACAATTATGACACATCTATTCCTGTTTTGCCCACTTACGGTTGGGAGTTCTAAGAAGCTGTCATTTATAAGAAAAYTAGAATTCATCAAATTATRATTAAAAAGGGTCCAATGAGCCTTTCGAGCAATTTCGTTTCATTGGTAGAGATTCTGAGACAAAAGAAAAAATGTTGGGCATAAAATACTGTGTCTCCACACAAAAGGWTCCAGTATTAAATTAAAGCTAAGTTAGGCGGCATGCCATTATTTGCTCTCAAAATATTGACAATTAATTTTAAAGCTTTGCAGTGTCGTCGTACACAATAGTTTTCCAGATGATTGGACRTTATAATTATAATTAACAAGCAAAATATACTAACCTCTTAAAACATCCTGATCCAGTCAACTTAAGGCTTTTAGAGGCGCTTTACATTTAATCAATAACTTATTGTTTTGATTTTCTATTAGCATATCTACAGGGTAACAATTAAACTACAGGGTCGCGACACCTTTTGGGCCAAACCTTTGGTTGGCTTGTTCCCGAATTTCCTAGTTTGATACCTGTGTGATACCTCAAAATTGATTGATCCCGGTCGAGATCCCGTAGCTATGAATTGATCTCTGATCGTTGTTCCTAAAATAGTGTTAATCATGATCTTATTTACAAAGTACTGTGAAATCACTAATGCCTAGTGTTCAGATGTTTCTTCGTTCCAAAACACCTTTACTCGATTCAGTGCACATATTGCGCCGCCATATTGAATTTTTGGTTGGCCAAGACAGCCTTGACCACTTTCTGCATTTCACTTAGTATTAAGCGCATTAGGCACCTTGACAGCCATTTCTAGCAAATAGCATCAGAATCGTTATCAATATATACTTTTCACAGTTTCCTTCTCAAAAATCTGAAAATTCGGCTCTGCTAATTTTTCTCGATCTGAACAAAAAGTATATCATTGCAGTAATCAACTCTTTGTCAAAAGATTTGATTATAGCCATTCGGACAATTTTGCMTTCTAGATATTTTGGAAATAACAAAGGGTGAAAATATTTGTGGGAATACATACCGGGCTGCCTGTGTCAGGGAGGGGCGATCAGTCTCAAGGAACGCCTGGAAGATTTTTGCTCTGCTGTGCARCATTACACATTAACCCGTGGCAATACAAAGTGACCTTATTTTCTGTGAATTTCTGGCATGGTAGGCYGCTGAAGGTAATTTTGTTTTGTTTTTTTAAACTTTTTATGGATTCCATAATGTTTTAGGGGTAAATTTTACAATCAATGAAAAAGTTTAGAAACTTCTATGATTCACATTAAGCTAATTAAACCTCGCCAATCCACACGAAGCGTCGAGATTTTAGTCATCAATTTTTATAGTGTAGAATATYGTACTTTTAAAGCTTAGAATATAGTATGCTTATGTTTGAAACTTAGCCTATCAATTAAGTTGCTACTTCCAAAAGAAAAAACAATGAAAACAAGCGAAGCTACATTTCTTTTTTGTATGTTTGCTTTTGTAAAGGAGAAGCCGGTAAAATACATTTAAGCTTAATAACGTTTCAACCAAAGTCTTTTGATCCAAGCATTAGTCATCAGACAAGATACTAAACTCTTATAAATATAATTAAAGCTCACATTGTCTAAAACTTTGCAGGTGTACTAGCTCAACTGAGGGCCAAGAAGTATTGRACACTTGCTGTATTATACAAAACTATAATAACCCATTTGATTAAACGTGTTCTAAGAATGAATCCTGAGTGGGCAGAATATAAATGTAAATCGGGGGAGACTTTATTTTTGTATAACAAGAAGACTGGGGAACACAGATGGCTAGATCAATCATCTTCTAAAGGGGTAGGTCACCACAGGGAGACCAAAGACTCATAATCAAATAATAATAAGTAAAATGTTGGACTGCCAAACACTATCAAACAWTGTTGGGCTGCCTGTGCATTTTACTATCTGGACACTTGTTTGATGGTGTTGGTACTACTCAGTAGGGCCAATGGTAAAGCATTTGGCCATCAAAGAAGACTTTCTTGTAGTTGTTATTAGTCCAACTTATTGGTTACCCAAAAGTGTTTGAAAACTGTTGTTGTTGTTTTGTCATGTCAATAAATTTGCTTGCTTTGCTGCCCCATAAGACCACAGACTGAAGCACTGCCGGCTGGTTTATATGCTGCACTGGTCAGCTTTTAGTAATTCATTGAAATTTTCTTTGCTATCTCTAGGGAATTATTGAGTCGATAGAAATTGACTSTATTTGGACCGAATACAAATGCAAATCAGGTGAAACACTATTCCTGTACAACAAGAAAACAGGCCGGCACTTATGGCCTGTTTATAAACAGGTATATATAGTAAGACTATAGAATTTATATGATGTAATGAGCCTACCCTGCCTACTGCAAATGATGATTTCTTCCCTCTACCCCCATTTTAAATCTTAATTATAAACAAAACACAAGAACAAAGTAAATAAATAATGATAATAATGATGATGATAGTAATGATGATGATAATGATGTTGATAATGACAATAAAGATGATGATGATGATAATGATGATGATAATGATGAAAATAATATAATGATGATAATAATAATAACGATAATGATAATGATGATGATAATGATGATGATAATGATGATGATAATGATGATGATAATGCTGATAAAAATGATAATGATGATGATGATGATAATGATGATGATAATGATGATAAAAATGATAATGATGATGATAATGATGATGATAATGATGATGATAATGCTGATAAAAATGATAATGATGATGATAATGATGATGATAATGATGATAAAAATGATAATGATGATGATAATGATGATGATGATGATGACCATAATGGTAATGATGATAATAATAATGAGAGCTTATGTAAATAATTGCTTATGCATACGTTATCATTTACTAATTTTTTAATTGCCCAGCTAAGCACA